TGAAAATCAATAAGTGCTGAGTGATATACATGTAATTGAATTGTTAAACTTTATATTTATGTGGCCAAACCCTGAATATATAGAATTTCTCCATTTCATATACAGTTATGCACTAATGATGTTTTGGTAAAAAATGCACTGCATGTATGAAGGTGGTCCCATCAGATTATAATGGAGCTGAAAAATTCCTATCACCTAGTGACATCCAGGTGTGATGCATCACCTTATCTATGTTTAGATATGCAAATACTTATCATTGTGTTACAACTGCCTACAGTATCCAGTACAGTTATATGCTATACAGGTCTGTAGCCTAGGAGAACAAAAGGTTCCTTCCTATGTGTGTAGTAGGCTATATCTAAGTTTGTGTAAGTACACTCAGAATATATCCCCATCATTAAGTAAAACATGATTGTAAGTTGTTTTCTTACTATACTAAAGCACATTTTGGACCATGTTATTAAAAATATCACATCACTGAAGTATTTCCAAAGCATAAAGCACTCAACATTATTTTAGTGTTGGTCTATATCAATAAGGACAGTATAAGAATATTACTCATTTCTTTTTTTAGAAACACCTTGTACAAACATAATACATTTTTCCTTTCACTTAAAGTTGTTCAGTGCCTGCGTATTAAACTCTTTGTTTCCACTAAAAATGCATAACCCACCCCCACAAAGAATTGTATGTTATACGTAAAAGACTATAATCAGTAGTTTCTAAATTGAAATCATTCTCCTAGAAAGAACACAGATCCTTCAAAAACAGTTCAATTATTTTTAAGTTACTGAAAAAATTTTTTCCTTAGGAAGTTATGAAAATCAATACTAATATTAATTTAAACTGGAAATACCCAACCAAAATTGTAGATAAAAGAGCTTAAAATATTAACAACTTTCTCTATTCTTTCCCTTGTCCCAACTAGTTAACCACATTTATACTTTCTTGGCCAAAGCTAAAACGTGCCAAGAGTTTTTATTTCTAAAGGGATACTCCCAAATAGTAACATCAAGGTGGAGAACTGAAAAACATAGACAACCCTGTTCACTATAAATTATTGAAAATCTTTCTGGTATTCAGAAGTCTGAAGCCATCATTGTCCAGTTTTTTGTTTCTGTTTTTTTTGAGACAGAGTCATGCTGTGTTGCCCAGGCTGGAGTGCAGTGGCGCCACCATAGCTCACTGCAGCCTGGAACTCCTGGGCTCAAGGGATCCTCTTCCCTCAGCTTTCCAAGCAGCTGGGACTACAGGAACACACCACCACACCCATATAACTTTCTTACTTTTTGTAGAGACAGGGTGGTTTCGGACTCCTAGACTCAAGTGATCCTCCACCTTGGCCTCCTAAAGTGCTGGGACTACAGGCCTGAGCCACTGCACCCAGCCCACTGTCCAGCTTCTAAAAGAGCAAATTCCAAGGGAATCCCGGCCTCTCCCTTGGCTCACTGCCAAATGATTCACAACTAAAACATTTGTAGGATATGTGACTTAAAAAAAAAAAAGCTCAGTGTTTTAAAAAAGGGAATGACAGGATAAGGAAATGATATATTAAGATACATAAAACTATTTTTACTAATAATTGCTTGTTAAATAATTTTTAAAATATCCTATAAACTATAACCAACCAAAAAAATCAAAACAAAACCAAACTTGGTAGCAGAAGATAAATATTTTCAAGAGTTACTTATAATATTTGAGATTTTTTAGGCTTAATTTCTTACATTAACACAGAACACATACAAAAACAAAGCAAATATTGCCTAGAATCACAAAACTTGCATTTTACAAAAGACACGCATTATTTCTGAAAATTTTAGTGTACATTACAGAACAGGGTTCTAAAAATTAAAGTCTGTTCCTTCTTAGTCCAAATTTGCTACAGTAACATCAGCTGATAATGCCCTTTTCTGAATTCATTCATGGTCCCGGAAAATTTAAATTAATCAGTGCAAATGAGGAAAAAATAGCTTATGCTTTAACACATTAACCTTGTTGTCTAAACAATGAAATTTTTTTCCTGGAAAAAATACTCATCTCTGCTTTCAGTAGTATATTTCAACACCCAACCTGAATCTGTACCAAGAGATAGAAGCATTTGTCACAAAACCTGTTAAACCACAAATTTTTTTTTTAAAAACAAACTGATAGTTACCCAACAAGAAAATGATAACTTGTAACTTTTCAGAGGCAGGGAGTTTTTTATTTTTGGCTTCTGCAATGGAATTTCACCAACTTTTTAAAGGTATTAACTTTATTAACCTGTAAGTAGGTTTATTTATTTTTTAATCAATTTAAAGTAGTACGTAAAAACTGTCAAAATGAGTCAGAAACAAGGTTTGCAATGCTCATAATTATATCTGACAGTGGTAATATGTAACCTTTTGAGCTAGTCTCAACAGACTGGCAATATATAACTCAAATTATTCACATAACAAATAATAAGTCTTGTTTCCGAAAAAAAAAACAAATTATTTATCTTTACAATTTTTAGAAAAGGTCTAATGTAAAAATACGTTTCTTCTTAATATATTTCCCTGTTATGATAATGTTAAAACATCTAGATTAGATTCTCCTAAAACTTTAAGGGTGAAGAACATAACATTCCACTTCATTGAAACATTCTTCACATGGCCAACATATTTTTTTCAAGGCACTCTAAGAACTCTTGAGGATACTATAGGAAAAATGTTCCTCTTGCCTACTGATCTTTTAAGCATATTTCCCCTCAAACTTTTCTAAATTAAACATTGTTATAATTCGTTTTTCTGAAATTTCATTTTCCACGGTACAGTCCTTAAGTTATTTTTCTTTTATTTGAAGCCACTCCTTCATTTTCAACTTGCTGAGCAGGCAAGCAACTGCCTTTGGTTTCCATGGAAACTGGATTCCTGTGGCTGCGTGTAGGCATTCTTGTTCCACCAACCTAAGGAAGCAAAGAACAGACTAGCTTAAGGTAGTTACAACATACCTACATAAAGTCACCTCCGTATTATTTACACATGTACTAATTACCTTGGGAATGATCCCTTATATATTTTTAATCTCCAGCTACTTGGCTGTTTCTAAGCAAGTTTTAATCTGACAGTTTTAAAGTACTAAATGTTAAAACAGCAATCAGAGCAGGGGATAGATCAGGGTACATGGAGAGAAGTGAATGGGGAAACCACTCTCTGTATTACTCTTAGAAGAGGCTGAAATGTTAAATTAGCAAACAGGGAAGAACAGACCTTTTGAGCAATGTGTTTGTAATAACTAAGCTGAAGGGCAAGAAAAAGGAAGAATTAGAAATTGGAATGGAGCAAAAGGAAATGCAAGCAGAAGGTCAGAGGTGGTAAAGAGGGAGGAGAAATTACATACAGAAAAAAGAAAGACAGTAAGATAAGGAAGGTAAGGAAGATAAGGAAAGAAAATGAAGAGACAAAGTAAGAAAAAAGAAGAATCTAAGATGAAAGAAGAAAAAAGAATAAACGTCAAAGGAAGGGAAAAGAGAGAAGAATCCAAGTAGAAAGGAAAAACTGGAGGGGTGACAGAGAGGAGCAAGAAATAAGAAAGGGGAAGGAAAAAAATGGAAGGGGAATCCAGAGGATGAGAAAAGAGGAAGAGGGAGGTTGGGGGTGTGGGGAGAACTGTTGTGGTGCTCGTTCCACCTTCATGACGGCCCTTCCTCACCCTCACTCGGCTCACACAGTCCAGGGGAGAGAGGTGTTCTGCTCTTAGGACACAATCCCTTGCTAATTGTAGTACTATTACAGATGAGATATGGAAATGCTGTCACCTCCTTGGCCACTGAGAGAGCATAAAGTTTTTTAAAAGGGTAACAGAGAAAGCCAGACCTCACAGAGAAGTACCTGTGGAGCTGTATAGCTTAAAACCATTTCCACAGAACCCGTCCCCATCTGCCTCTATTCTTCCGAGCCGCCTTGCACTCTTTGTTTCTTCATATCCTGTCCAGTGAATTCCAGGCCTGGGGTGATGGGTGATATTGTAACTCCAAAAACACTGTCTCATATTCCTACCCCAAGAGAAATAGTACTGGCATTGCTCTAACAGGCTACTAGCTCACTAAGAATGGATCAGACTCCAGTTTCCTGGACCTAGTATCTACTGTCTCCTTAAAAGAGCACTTTTTGGTTTACAATTACATAACTAAAAAGGACAAACTTGAGTAGGCATCTGACTCTGCCAGTCTGTCTTCATGAATCTGGTGAACTTTTGTAACATACTGATTAGAAAGTACTGTGATTTTTAGATTATCTATATACCACTCCACTCAGCTGGCATTTCCTATAAAGGTATACTGACCACACTAATTGTATCTAGTATTCTTTGAGAAAAACAAGCATTTTGAAAACTTCTCTTGCAAGATTGTGTGTGTGTGAGTGCACATGCAAAATGAATGCTTATTACAGAAGCTGTAGAAGGAGAAAAGGGGTATAGAACTGCTGCAAAAAGACTGCAAGGGGAAGTCAAGAGTAGCACAGGAAGCTAATGGGACTCTTCAATATGATCTCTGCTTGATGCAGGAGGGAGGCAGATGCAGATATCTCTCAGGGTTAGTGCCAAAGGCAGTATACCAGAATGAGATCTGAGTTCAAGTGGACTAGAGACTACCATTATGAGATCATATTAGACGTAAAAACATTTGTGTTATGAGGTTTCATACCATAAAAATATGCAGATAATTTCTGTTTCATACAGGACTTACTTCCTTGGTTTCTCCAATCTTACCCATTTCTCCTAAGGCTAGATCCCTATCTGTGCCTGGCTTGAGACTAGAAAGTCCCATTCCTATGGGCTGGCTAGGCGGAAGGGAGGAAGATAGGGTAATTACTATCAAATATAGGGCTAGATTGTGGGGAGGTGAGCAGATCATCACTGAAAACTTTCTATCGGCTTTCAGAATTATATCAAACCAAGTATATTAGTTATCTAATTGTCTACTGAAAGCTGGGCTGTCCAACAACCTGGTCCTGGATAAACTCACTAAATATTTGTTCCATACCGAATGCAGGAAGCATTCAAAAAATATATATTGGCCAGGCATGGTGGCTCGTGTCTGTAATCCCAGCACTTTGGGAGGCCAAGGTGGGAGGATCACTTGAAGCCAGGACCTTGAGACCAACCTGGGCAAAAAGAGAGACTCTGTCTCTACTAAAAATACAAAAAGTAGCCAGG